GCCTCTAGATCCTCTACCATCCTCCTCACCTCACGACAGATTCTTGAGGAACTAAGACTTTCTATCCACTGCGCATCACAGCTCGACGGCTCTGCTACAGTCATTGATAGTGACAGCCAACAACAGCTGAGCACACTGAATCTCATCGAGGAAATAATTCCACTTATAGTGACGAGAAGTGAACAATCTACTGCAGACCATTTCCCCATATACCATCTCATTCCCTCCCTCCTCCAAAACGGCGGTCCTCGCTACGCCAACCGCTAGAACCGTCCATACAACAATTTCCCAACTCACTGCATGCCGCTAAATAACATCATTCTCAACCCCCTCGTTCATCACGCCACCAATTTGATTCTATTGAGGAAAACACAACACGAAGGTAACACTGTGAATTACCACCGACTAGACACACCACGGGAAATCACCCCAGCAACAAGGCTGCGTGGGGACGGATGCAACAGGAGTCACCAGCCGAGGCTAGTAGCAACCTCCTCATAATACTGCTTGGCTGAAGCGTCATCGACTGTTGATGGCATGCGGTGTGAGGACTGAGGGGAAGTAATTGACACGACTCAAAATAGATAACAACGGCAGGTCCTCACCTTCATAAATTTGGCGACCCTCGGTACAGCTAGCAAAGCCTTCCTCCAGGCGGCTACCTTTGGCGCTGCGCCCAACACCTTCTCCTCTCCCAGGACCTCAATAGCCTCCTCAACCACGCGCAACGCACACGAGTCGGCGATAGTGGGCGTGTTGGTACCTGAATGTAGGGCTATAAAATCAACAACGACAACAACAACGACAACAACAACAACAACACCAACAACACCAACAACAACAACACCAACAACACCAACAACACCAACAACACCAACAACACCAACAACACCAACAACAACGACAACAACACCAACAACAACGACAACAACACCAACAACACCAACAACACCAACAACACCAACAACACCAACAACACCAACAACAACAACAACAACAACAACAACAACGACAACAACGACAACAACAACAACAACAACAACAACAACAACAACAACAACAACAACAACAACAACAACAAAAACAAAAACAACAACAGCAACAACAACAACCACAACCACAACAACAACAACTACTACTACTACTACTACTACTACTACTACTACTACTACTACTACTACTACTACTACTACTACTACTACTACTACTACTACTACTAAACAACGACTAGAACAACGGCTAAAGCCACAACAACAACAACAGCAAGAAAGTACCCACCCGCCATGAACTTGCCGTCCTCCAACTGAGTCTCCCAAGCCTTTATCCACCTCAGACATTTCACGCCCTTCGTCGACGCGGCCTCCTCAAAACTCTGCCCGAACTTGAACCTTATCGCAACGTCAAGCAGCTGAAACAATACAACTACAACAGTGAGGAACAACCACCACTTGTTGCTTACCCCCGAGCCAAGGGCATCAGCCGAGGCCTCAATGATCTCATCGACTCTTTCCTCCTTCCCCTCCGCTCCACCATACAGATCGAATTTACGAGCGATGTAACGGAGAATGGCACCGGTCTGCACCAGACGTTTCCCATCGGGGGTCTCCAACATCGGAACCTGACCATACCTAAACGAGAGCAACTTCACTCACGTCAGACTCGCGGCGATCTCACCTGAGTTTGGGCATGAGGTTGAGCATGTCCTGTCGAGTACGTATGAACTGCTCCTCGTAGTCCACGCCGGCTAACCCCAAGGCAAAGCGCACCATCTCACCGCGGCCTCGGCCGTAGAAGTAATACAGTTTATACATAGACATCAACAGTGGAGGAACAGAAACTCAAACTACATACGAGTAAGGGTTACATGCAGAATAGTTAATGTAAGTGAATACTATTATTTCATGGAGTCTTACCCGTGATATGAAAAACACTAGTTCGCGACGATTGCGAACATCGCGTTTTTAACATAGTATTATTACGCCACTTCACGTAAAACGAGTGATACAATAATATCCCTTGATAAACGATAACTTGATATCTTCAATGAACTAGATATCTATACAGGGTCCCCTACGACGGACTGATAAACCCCTCCCCGCTGTCCTCGCCTACACATCTCCCGAATGCCGAGTGACGGGCGGCACGGAGTTGAAGGATCACTTGAATGTCGAATAATACTACCACGGAGTCATAGCAAGAGTTAGTTACCACTATGACAGAGAACTAGAGATAGAATAAAATAGACAATAACAACAGTAGCTGCTCAAGAGATGATGAAGCAATCAGCATAAATATTTCATATGCAAATCAACAGTAAGAACGACTCAACCACCAGCCCCTCACGGGGACAGTGTTCACAACGTTAGACAGATCTGTGTACTCAGTAGACAGCGTTTGTGGTCTCCTATCACTCATTCTACCCTAAGGTCACTGCCCAGTCAACCGCATCGATGCAATCAGTGAGCGACTATCACCGCGAAAGCCGACAACTCAGGTCTCTACCATACACCCCAACAATGACTATGCTCAGCCTGCGTTATTTGCTACTTGTAGTCACCCAGTCATCTGAGAAGAAAATGCGTGTCTATGACGGTTTTCCAATATCCTTTCGAGTTAACGAAACACCGTCTGATCTCACATAGAACGTAAGATTAATAACAGCTTAAAGATCTATGGAAGTTCAATCGTAGCAGATCAGCATACTAGCTTGACGCCAGATACACAACTACATCGCAATTATGAGACAATTATGAAGGACAATCCTTTGTGTCCTCAAGGGACTACAACATTCTCATTTCTCATTTTCCATATCTGTTGAATCCAGCACATTCCCCCTTCGCTTCCCCACAGACTCACAACTCCCGTATAAAACCACACAACACCATCACGATCACTAAACGTTCACTACACAAGGAAACGCAAACCGGCGATATATATATTCTCAATAGGGCTCTTTCCATCCAAGGGCATCACCAACTTCACGACCATAAACTCTAGCCGTCTCTTCCGCCTTGGGAGAAGGCATACGATAGGCGGACTGAGAGACTATCAAGATCGACGGAGGGTGATCCAAAACCAACCTACCCTCATGAAAGCAGCCATTGCGGGCACGTTGAGAAGCTTATCGCGCCAATCACGAAGCTTTGGCAGATCACCGAGGACTTCCTCAACACCAAAATACTCCACGCAGTCTTCAACCACTCGCAGGGCGCTGGTATCAGCTATTGTTGGCTCGCTGGTACCTTATATGTTATAATTAGTTTATATGTACATATCGAATGTTTAATATTATTATACAGTGGAGTTCCACCCGTTCACGGGTAGTTTTTGCGTTTTATAGTAAGTTTAGGTTCATATGTATTGTATGTATGCATGTTGTAATGTATTCAAGGACCAATAATGTCTATGGATATCTTTATTTATATTATACATTAGAGTTTCACCCGTTTTACGTGAAGTGGCGTAACACTCTGTGAAAAACGCGATATTCGCGGTGATATGCAGTAGTCGTGAAATATATTTTTCACTAGTGTTTTATATATCACAAGGGTGAAACTCCAGTATATTTTATCTCTTTACCAATTAATACCGATACAACACCAAAGATACATATACTTAATGACGGCCTATCACTAATAACTACGAAATCCAAACACTCATCAATCCACCGCGCCACCAGTAGTATTTTATTTTTACGCGAAATTACCTATCAAAATCTATATTTCATCTGACTTGATACGACATTCTGATGAGGTCATAACAACGCACATAACATTCCATGTATACCGTTACCCTAGATATACTGGAGTTTCACCCGTGATATGAAAAACACTAGTGAAAAACATGTTTCACGACTAGTACAGGCCGCGAATATCGCCTTTGTCACCGAGTTTTTCGCCACTTCACGTAAAACGGGTGAATGTATAATATAAATAAGGATATCCATACACATTATTAATCCTTAAATGCATTACAACATGCATACATACAATACATATAAACCTAAACCTACTATAAAACGCAAAAACTACTCGTAAAAATCTCTATTTCATCCTACTTCACCGATAACAACATATAAATCTACACCAAAGGCTCCCTCCCCCAAGCTAAGAAGACACACCTGCAATGAATTTGCCTTCTTCCATGTTATGCTCCCACACTCTAAACCATCGAAACGCTGCTTTCCCACGGGAAAGGGAATTAGCCAAACTCATACCATCACGACGGAAAAAGGGCGCCTTGAGCAACTAAAAGAAGTTCATGCACACCTCCGTAAGTGGTGCAATCATTTAGTTCTTGTGTGGGTTACAAGTTGTAGTGATAATATACAGATATCTACGTTGTAACTTACAACGTAGATATCTGTATATTATCACTCCTCACGGTATGCTCTATCGAATAATACTAGAAAATCTGCCGAGCATTTATTCCCGGAAAATCACCCCCTTGGGACACCTGTGGAGGTCGAGACCCACAGTAGAGTGATCGTAATCAACTGTGCTACAAGTCACTTGTTGCTTACCCCCGAGCCAAGGGCATCAGCCGAGGCCTCAATGATCTCATCGACTCTCTCCTCTTTCCCCTCCGCTCCACCATACAGATCGAATTTACGAGCGATGTAACGGAGAATGGCACCGGTCTGCACCAGACGTTTCCCATCGGGGGTCTCCAACATCGGAACCTGACAGTACCTAAACGAGAGCAACTTCAACTCCTCCAACTCTTTTCAAAAAACAACTTACTTTAATTTGGGTATCAGCTCTAACATATCCTTCCGCGTGCGTATGAAGATATTTTCGTACTCCACCCCAGCTAAAGCCAAGGCAAAGCGTACAGCCTCACCACGACCACGACCCGCGAAGTAATAGAGCTTATACATAGCAAGACAAGGAACTGATAATAGCAGTGAAGTTCATTATACCACACCTTTGCCACATCGCGATCACTGAGCACCACCACAGTCGATCTACGACTCATGCTACTACACCTACTGAAACACAACAGTACTGTCCATTGGAATTGCAATGAAAATATCATTCACACACACTAGGACTCTCCCCACCACCAAACCTATACCCCTAGCACATCCCCTCATCCTGAAGAGGCAGGGGACCAGTATACGATCCAGAATCACTGAACTCATCGTAGAAATCAGGGCAGCTCCCTACTCTAGGATCCACGCTTGTATTATTCGCTTAATGACATGTTAAAAGGTCGGCCGCAGGGATCGAACCCGGGACCACCAATTCGGAAGTCTCCAGGAACTAGACCACCCTCCAGCTCAGTCACAGCCCTACATAGAAAAGCAGTTTCCGAAACCAAGGCTAGAAGAGAAGAGGACGGGAGATTGAGAGACAATGCTTCAATGGACATGTAACCAAGCCTGGCAACGAACAGGCATCAGCTGCAATGGGGGGGAGGGAATGTGCACATTATCAACTACGTGCGTTGATAACACTAAGTAAATTTTCAAGGAAATTCCGAGGAGTTCATATAGATTCTTGTACACTTCTACTCCAACTAGTGAGGAAACTCCCGAGCTGAGAAAACTTCCCATATATTAGTCCAGCAGCTCTAACCAGCTGCCTCCACACTCAACACAACGAGCTCATTCAACGTGAAACCTCAAGCTTTACTCCGCTTCGCCTCCGGCCCACTCAAGTCCCCATCATCGCGTCTACTCGACTTGCCACTCCTGACGTTCATAATATCCACATTGTTCATACCACACCTTTCTCACTTAGCAACCTTCTCACAGAGATGCTCCAAACCAGTGACCATCTCCATAAGATCCTTCGTCCGGCCTTTCTCCGAGTCCTCAAGCTCATCCGTATACTGAGCAATAACCTCACGTATTGAACCTGCCAGAGACCCCATCTAGTTACTAAACCAACGATTCTTATTTCTCTGATTTCGATCGGCTGGGGATGGAAGCCGACTGTAACGGCTGACAGAACATTCCCATGAAAACCTCAAGTGTTTCCTTCTCCTCTGATGATTATAGTTATATTTTCATCACAAAAAAACCCACCAGAAACACCGTTATTTCTCACCTGTCATCCCTTGGACCGCTCTACAGAGATGCTCCGTAAGGGCCTTATTTCCCGAATTGTGACAGAGTAATAACAGACATAGGTCAATGAGCTGCAGCTGAGACAAGCCACTCCCCAGTGCGAAAACATACCGCCTGACAGACCCAGCTGGTTATCGATTGTCCCTAGTTAAACTTCGTACGCCTCCTTAGGATCCTCCCCCAGATCCTCCTCCTCCTCCTCTGCTACCGCCGAGCCCCTCTCAGCGCTCTCCTCATCGTAGGCCTTCAGCCTTCGCTCTGTCATCACGACTCCTCACTAATGTAAAAAGACAGGGCCAACCTACCCAGATGCTTTCGAGTATCCTCTCGCAATTTCACCAGAGTATCGACTTTACTGAAAGACCCTTCCGTGAACTTGTTCAACACCCGAGCTGTGTAAATAAAAACAACAGTCACAAACCGTCTGGAGCTCCCACGACCTCACCAGCTTCCGAGCCCCTAGTGTTCCTCAGTAGATGGTAGATGATGCTCACCACTGCCTCCATCTCTGTATCAGTAGCCTTGCGGTGGCTCAACAATCCGAATATCGACTTCAACCCCATCCTAACGAGAAAGCACGTCGCTTCGAAAACTCATTATACCAGCGATGAAATATATGTTCGCTTTCCTCAGCTGACCTCGGGACTCTCCTTAGTGTTTATAAACCAACAAGATTTTCCCAAAATTTCCTCAGAAATTCTACTTTTTCACCAACACATAAGCCCATTTTCCCCCACTCCCTTACTACTGCTCCACGAAAATCTTGCAATTTTCCGGATGGTCTCGCAAGGCTGCCTCGAGGACCCGAAGACTCAACCGTGCCGCAAGACGCTTCCCCGCCCCTTGGGACAACAACTTCACCTTCAATGATAAACATCCATCAGAAACAACAATCATCTTAGCTTTTCTTACCATCAGCTGAACTCCTTGAGACTGACCGAACGCCGTCTGGTGATATGGCACGATAAGCACGAGTGCATCAAACCTGAGAAGGAACCTCTACTCGGGCAACAATAACATGTACAACATATACATAAACATATACAACAGCAACAACAGCAACAACAGCAGCAACAGCAACAACAGGAGCGACAGCAACAACAACAACAACAACAACAACAACAACAACAACAACAAAAACAACAACAAAAACAACAACAAAAACAACAACAACAACAACAACAACAACAACAACAAAAACAAAAGCCACCACTTCAGCTACTACACATTTTCCAACAGCTCATTTTCACTAGTCTCCTTAGGATCATTGTGACGATACATGTTAGTAACACGAAGTAGTCGATCCAAGCTACGACGATCTACGATCTGTGGGACTAAAACCACACAGGACAGTAAACGATACCAAGTAGGGAAGAACACGCCTACTGGTTTGAGTAGGATTAAGGCACTGTTGCAGTAATAGTGACAGGAGTTCAGAGGCAAAAAGCGCGTTATACCTATGGACGAAAAAGTCGGAGGAAACACGACTGATGATGCCTACGTGAAGTTCTTCTCCCTCACTGCTTCTTTGATGACAGTGACAAGCCATTCGACGAACCTTCCCGTTGCAAACTCAGGTACCGTTTTAGCTGGCCTGACCACACAAGCAAATGCAACGCCAGTCATCAAACACTCGAGTACGTCGGAACTTCACATGAGGGACGTTCGACCGAGTCACGCTATTTTAATTCTGAATCTCAAGCGCTAATTCAAATCTCATCCTTCAGCAACTCCACAGCAACCCTAGTACCATATTTCAAATAGATTTTCAATAGTCTGAAGACAGTTTGTAGTAGCCTGCTGAGCATCCTCCATTTTACCAGCTTCATCGTTCTCCTTCTGATATCACCAACATGTCACCATCAGCCACCCCACAGCAACTCCACTACCCCCGAGATATCCTCACTACTCTCTGCTTCCTCTCCCTGTTCCCTATAGATCCGCCACAACGTTTCGATGTATATACTCCCCAACTTGGCATCAGTTACTAGCGATTCAACCTGGCATGCGGGCATGTGTTTACGACCTCTTTTTTCCCTTACGAAATCCCCTGCCACTTTATCTTCACAATCAGCCAAGACCTCAGGCTCCGTGAGATCGCTAAGGACCTGACCTCACATAGACATCAGCCTCTTCAGCTGCCGCCCTACTACCGCAAGAGCTTCCGCACAGATATCAACATTGGCGTGCTGGAGGAGGCCAACGAGCACTCTCCCCCCATGCCCAGCTACAAAGGCAGGGTACCTAACAAATCGTCACCCCAGGACTAACACCATCGACGCCACTCACAGCTCGGCTGGGTTAACGGCTAACTCGGTCAAACGGCGTATCTCCTCAGCGAGTGAGACTTCACTCTGCATAACAAAAATGCAGCACGTCCAAGCTCTCGTCATGAACAGCAACTACCTCCAAAAATTTGGTCGGGTCATCGGAGTGCTTAATACGAAGCCTCTGATTCTCCTTCACCAATGATGCTACTTTCCGCACCAGAGCAGCGCAACCCTCCACGTCAAGACTCTTCACCTGGCGCTCAGCTCAACAACCACACATCGAAACACATCCAACGTACTTCGGTCTGCTCGTTCTTCTTGATGAGCTCTTGAATGTCATCAGCTGTTAATGTCGCCGGTAAATTGTCCGAATCGCTAGGATCATACGCGGTAGCCATTGATCGAATAACACGGAGAGTGGCACCCTGAGTGATCCCTGGTGCGATTTCGGACTTTTCGCTTCTCCGAACATTCGAGCTACACCACCAATCAGGCGTACGAGAGACCGCTGTGAGTAGTAAAGTAATTCACAAAGTAAAGCTCGTTACTCCCGCGGTGTCCTCTCACTAATCACGGTAGGAACTGTCAGTTCTCTACGCCACTCACATGCCTTCAAGATTTAAGCCTTGTCATAGTACAATACTCGAGTCGAGCTAGATAATAAAGTTGATGGATGTTTTGACGATGATAACGTCGATCCAGAGTATAACAGGCAATTGGTGTTAAGGAAATGTAAGGAGGCTAAAGATAGTAAGAAATTCGTCATCTGATCCAACCCCAAAAAATTCCGAACCAGTGGTTAAGCTGCTCAATAATTAGTGCTACAGCAGTTACATAAACTTAATAAGGGACTAGGGCCAGGGTTGTTCTGTAGCGCACCACACTGAGGAAATTGATTTCCGAGTTCCGCGATGCTAACAAAAATGCATTGGCACTTGAACCCATTCCCTCATGAAAAATACGTTGCGTAGCTCTCAGCGCCTGTCAGTAGGCTCCTCGTCTGCATATCGATGATGAACAACTGCAAATTACTTCACGAAACCATTCTTAGCCGAGGTGACTACAGTATCATCTCATCATTGTCAGATTGTAACGGAACAGTGGGGTCAGGGGTATGATATATCACATCTGCTTAGTCGACGATGATGATGTGTGCTGCCTGGCAACGGAGCCGCGAGCAGTTATTGGGTGTGTATGGGATTGGACACTGTACTAACACAAGTAAGCTTATTCGTGGTCAAACGTGTGCTATCCACTAGACCCTCGGGAAAGTTTCTTCCGTGCAAGGAGCATTGCCTTAGCAGTAGAGACTTCTGATGGATCAACTCTCAAGACGTCCGAACCTGATTCCAACAACAAATGGACGGTGAGAGAGATTCTAGCCATATTCCGCACGGCAGGCATTCGATGGCTTGTCGTATGCAGTATGGGAAAATATGCACATGGTTAACCACAAAAGTTGGTGATAATATGAGAATTCCGAGGCAATTTCGAGAAATTCTCGTCGGTTTCTGCACACTCCAACCCGTATTCCTGTGTTAATATAATTAGTGAGGAAGTTCCTGAGCTCAGCTGAGGAAAGCGGGTACATACGCTAACGCTGGTCGTACTCTTCGTGACCTACAAAGAGCTTTCCAGAAGTTTTCCAGTTCCAACCAACGTTGCCGTGCTCGGCCCATACTGCCGCACACATGTTCCAGCTGATTCACCTCAAATGTCGTCCTGAAAAAACCTCACAAACTTCATCATCAACGGCAACGACCATTTCTCTCAAACCACATATAATGTTTGACCATCCGGTCCGTGATCAAACGCGGCTCCTCAGTGCTGTATATCCTCTCAGTCGCCTCCCCAAAGGCCGCCTCAGTCTACCAGAGAAGCTCAACTCATACTAGCTGTGCTAGAATGGCTTACAGTTCGCCGATCATTCAGCTCTTCCACAACAGATGCAATGCGAGCTTCCAAAGGCAGCCCTGTGGGTGCTTCCCCATCTATGGCAGACTCAGCAGCATCCAGCTGTTTGCGTACACTCCTGAGCTCTTGTTCTACTGCAAGTAGTGCCCTAAGTCTAGCCTCGACGGTCTCCAATGGAGCGAAGACCGAGGGACCCTTGCCACCAAAAGAGTGATCGCAGAGTTATCGACATGCCCTACTTCGTGTTGACCATCATTGACCCAGTCCGAGCCGCAAACCTTGGAAGTTACAAAGCGGATAAACTCGGTCATTCGCGGTAGCGCTGTGTCCAGAACCTAGACCACATCTCGCAACGCCGACTCTAACATGTGCATTTCGATATCAATCATCCTCATGCTCCTACACCCGCTTTGGGTTGTAGTGCAAAGTTTGCACTGCAAACACCATCAAAGTCCCTCACAGCCTCACCTCGCCGAGCTTCTTGAGTGCATCCGGTAGGATACTAGGCTCGCTAATCTTCAAATGTCGACAACAATCCAACAACACTTGTTGCATCATAGAGCTGTCCATTTCAGCAACGGCTATGTCCGCCCCCAGCTTGTGGGACTCCCTACAAACAAGACCATCCAGTGGGACATCACCTACACCGTGGTCAAAGTTGCACATGGTCAACCACATGTGTTGGTCACAATATGAATATTCTGAGGAAATCCTGCTGGTCTCTGTATACTTCTAACCCAGTGCGTATATTAACTCCTATAATTAGTGAGGAAATTCCTGAGCTCAGCTGAGAAAAGTGAACACTGGTGATTCACCGAAAACTCAGCTAAGAAGATGAGCGAAAACTACAAGGGCTCGAGCGTCGTCGTGTTCTGTACAGTGTAGTCCTTACTTGTCTCGTCGTATCATCTCTCGAACATCACCACATCGCCATCTATCCCTCTCTTCTCTGCTTTTTTCGAGTCGCTCAATCTTGTTCTTCAACAGCTGGACTTCCCTCATTGTAGGACGGTCAACTAGTGTTGCCTCCGCAGCCGCAAGCTCATGCCTCGCAGTGTTTACCTCTCGCTCCAGAGCGGCGATCTAAGCTTGCAAAATACCAACAAGTGTGAATAACGAGTTGGCTGTTCATATACTCTGGGAGAATTGTGAACCCTTGCGACTACTGCAGGGTAACCACTATAATAGTGCTAAACTCAGCCAAGTGCTGGTCTCCTTGTGCTGAGTACGTCGACTTTATAAACAAGCCAACTTGTCATCAGCTGTTGGTTTGTCGCCTGGCCGAGAGCGAGAGAGAGAGAAAGAACCACTATAATAGTGATACTATATTAGTGTACACTAATACTAGTACAAGATATTCCACAATAGAATATTAGTACTACTCAATGAGCTCGTATATTGGATAAAGTCTGCGGGACGGATAGCATAAACCTTGGTGCTATTGTACCTCTGATTCATAAGCAACGGTCAGTCGTTGATACAAACCCTCCCTAAGCTACAGATTGACAACAGCCCACACTCTACGTTCCTGCAGCTTCGCAAGGATAGGCGCACACTCCATGGTTCCCACCAGAACTCACCTTAGCAGAATATCTAATCCCGTGCTCCTTCTCGCGGGCCTCAGCCTCCAACCGTGCTGCCGTCTCAGCACGGAGGGACTCCTCCAGCGCTCTCACCTACAACCCAGCCAATCGCTACATGCATGGCTAACTTTTTGCATACCACATCTTCATCAACACTGGGAGGTAGCTGACTCCGCTTCGCATCTGAGATCGATCATGACGTCTCTGCTATACCAAACGTTCCCTCACCACTCCCACAAACCGAATCCTCCTCAGGCGCCTCCGTTGCGAGCGCAAGTTGCCTCTGGAGGAGTCGAATTTCCTCTTCCGCACTGGTGAGTTGACTGGCCAAGTCCTGGGACTGCTTACCCGATGCGATGACCTCCTTCTCCAGCCTCTCTATGCGTCTTCTATATCTGAGCAGTTCCACGACAATCACATTAAGGAAGATACTTGAGACTCACACTGCAGCTAACTCTTGGAGCACATGGAGGCTCCCTTGGTTCTTCACTCCACCACCACCACGGCATACGGACTTCACCGCCTGAGTGGCAAGGCATTGACTTGCACGTTTCTGCCACTTCCAATGATACCCAACTCATGTGAAAGAGACCCACAAAAGGCGGGAGCGGAAATGCAGACTCTACCCCTTATAGTATTCATACTGAGTGTTGAATGAAAATTATCTACGGACTCGAGTTGCCTAGTGAATCGGCAGCCCCAACAGTATTCTCCTGCTCTTGCCGGCGGGTGAACTCACCAAGAACAGAAGTTGTTACAGGGAACGACAACGAGTAATGATGAGAAAACTTAACAGAAATGAGCCAGGCCTGAAAGTCCCACCTTCTCCGCAAACTCTCTGTCCTTTTTCCTCCTCATTTCCTCCTCATCAGCCATCTTCTGCATCTAGAGCCAGTCTCGAGATGCAGAGCATTTCCGTTGCAGTAGCCACTACTTACCGTATTCCGCATTCGTTCGAGCTCAATCTCCTGTCGTTGGCACTGGTGATGGAGTCTTCGTATCTCCCCAGATTGCTGTGACTTCACTCTCTCCAGTTGCCGTGTACGAGCCTCACTCGTCAGCGAGTTGGAGGAGCGCTCCACCACGCCTACAACAATACTTCATCATTCTATGGGGTCTCTCGCGCACTAACTAGCGTCGAGTTCCCGCCGTAATTTTTCAATTTCCTGTTGTAACTTCCAATTTGCTCGCGTGACTTCCTTTAGTTTGGATGATTCTCTCGGAGAGTCTCGGCGACCACTCGGAGTTGCTGCCAAAAGCTGACGATTTCGAACACTATACCTGGCCACGATCAGTGAGACATCCATACAGAGCAGAAGCTCACTCTTGCAACACGTTTATACAGGTTTCGAAGAGCTTCCGACCGTCAACGAGTGTAGGCTCTCCTAGCCGAGACGAGCCAGCAATTACTGGCACCTGACCATTCCAGTTGCCGATCGATCTCAAGCAGAATACTCATACCGCGTCAAAGCCATGGGACCTCAACTGTCGATTGTAATTAGCCCACGAGTCCGCCCCAGGAGCATTGATGAGTCGCGAAGATTCCTCTGCCCTCTCCAGCAGAGTCGTTCGATCAGGATGATGGACGTTTCCACCACCAATAGACGAGACACTACCGGCAGACGATAGTCGGCTGTCGGAGCTGCTTGCAACGCTTAATTGAACACGGGCGTCGTCACGAGCTGAGTGCAGCGACATTTCCGAGGTATTTCCATCGAGTTTACGGCGGGATCTCGATTGGCGCGGACTGGTGTGTTCGTATACGGTATCGTTGGTTGGGTCTCTCACCTGTAAGACTAAGTATTCACTGAGAGCAACTTGTGTTTGTCTCACGAGGAGAGTTCGACTTTTTTCAAGGACCCGTTGGAGCTTGGTATTCAGCGACCGCTCTGTCGGTGTGTGGTGAATAGATGAATCTGAAGCACGATCGACAGCTCTCTCCATGTCAGCCTCAACTCTCTAGTGAAGATAACAGGTTGGGAAATTGCGGAGGTATACACCATCGAAGCACTCACTTGCTATCATCATCATCGACGATCCACCAGGCAAGATCAACGATCGGGAAGGGCTGCGTACGGATGTGTAAGAGTGATCATGATGGAAGCTCATTAATTTAGTCTACAGACGTACAGTTCACGAGATGCCGGCGAATCAAGCTACGGAAAGACTTCTAATAGGATCATGAAACTGCATATATTGTCAACACTGCATAAAATCCACCAAGACAAACCCTGAGGGCGAATCAACTGGACGTCGCCAAGCCTCCGGTAAGACACTGAGGGACGACACCAAGTTTGTGACCACCGGGGCGTTCGTTCAGTGCATTGAATAGGTGTAGAAGATATCCTATTCTGCAGAATCAGTCAGCGTGCCGAAGGAATTTCAGATAATTCTAGTAGGCTCATTTTCACATTTCTACTAGAGAATATCCTAATGCTAGAGAGCTGAATACCAAGTTTAAAAACACTGTTTGTTTGATGGTCAAAGTACTGCTCATCGAACGACACGTTATCAGCTTGCTTAACTTGCCCCATGCATGCCTGAACTTTCTCTGAACGGGGGGATACACGATACACGTCAGCCAGTTTCCACTGCAGTGGAAAAGAAATTACAGATTTGTCACCCGTGATTCATAGAACAGATCCAAATAGGTTGATGCATCTCACTTTGATATTGACAACTCAACAACGACCATACCTACTCTTAAAAAGGAGGTCCTAACTACGTGGTGTAGTTGATACATCATACATACGAATGAATGATACTCATGAAGACCAATGAGGCGCAGCCCACTCGGATGTCGTGAGGCTCAGCGATGACGATAGAATTTGTGACATTGTGATGAGCTGTTGATGATAGGGACGAGTTTAACGCCTTACGATAGGCACGATGATGTAGATGATAATGCAGGCTACAATGACTGCGAGAATAATTTTTAGTTTGATGTTTCGGATCTGCATTTGTCTCCTGAGATCGGCCGACTGCCTCAGAAAAACATGAGCTTGCCTAGTCATGTCTTCCGTCCTTCGCCCTAAGTTCTCCGCACTCTCTTGATTCTCCACAATACGTCGTACCTGAATAATATGTCCCAGAAGCCTCCTTTGCTCCTAGGGCAGTGCTCTACGACGCCAAACATTACAGCTCGAGAGTCAATCGTAGGTGAACAACGATTTTCTCCCAGGATCACGAAAGCCCGCGTCTTACATTATCCTGCATGACGCCTTGTACTTCTTCTACCTTTTCTCGAACGCGACTGCTCTTGTTGTGAGCACCCGGATCCTCATACTAGAGATAACGACAGTGCAATTCGACGAACGGGAATAATGGTCGAAACCAGTGAGTCCCACAGTGGACATGGGCTACATAGATATGCCTACCTTGATCATCATCTCCTTCATACGTTTCCTATTCGGTCTGCTAAGGCCTTCCGCTGGAACGTCATCAAGACGAACTCCAGAGGACTCTATAATCTTCCGCAGATCTTCGCACAGTTGCCACGCTGTGGTCACAGGATATCTAATCACGATGCTTGCAGAATCGCCTACCACAGGTGTTGCCGAAGAAACTCCGCACACCCGGTCGTGACGATAAGGAAGGAATCAACGATGTCAACCTCGAAATAAATGTGTGCTCGAGATCGCGATAGAGACCTCAGTGAACAGCAAGACACGTCGAAATCCAGACAGAGCCGAATAACTGAGGTCCCTAACACTACTACCCTTTATCAACTGAAGCCACATAGACACAGGAGGCATTGCTGTCTGCAAGGACGTATAAGCGGTTACTCCAAGCAGCCTCCCCTGTATTGGCAACCTACAACAATACCAAGTCGACTCGCATATCCCATAACAGGGGAGGGGGATATGCCAAGCATCACCCTGGTGCAATCAATATCTCTAGTTGGGGCGGCTATGCCATCAGCCCAAGCTATGCCGTGGTACAGTCAATTCCCCCGGCCGGGGCGGCTATGCCACTACCCCAAGCTATGCCCTAGTACAATCAATTTCTCTAGTTGGGGCGGCTATGCCACCACCTCGAGCTATACTCTAGTACAATCAATTTCTCTAGTTGGGGCGGCTATGCCACAACCCCGAGCTATACCCTAGTACAATCAATTTCTCTAGTTGGGGCGGCTATGCCACCACCTCGAGCTATACTCTAGTACAATCAATTTCTCTAGTTGGGGCGGCTATGCCACAACCCCAACATGCCTTAGTTCTTTTAACTGCGCAAGAACATGGGGTAAACTGTCAAATTCTTCGACATGGCCGCTCGCTCGACGAAATTCACCTCGCTAAGAGCTACGCTAATAGGCTTGTGGAAGGCATAGTGTCCGACGTTCTCATGATGAACCCACGGTATTCGAGGAGGTCGAGGAATGAACCCATCCCGGCTCACCCGTCTAGACCCAGGGATGGCAACCTTGTGTATTTCTTCGAAGAAGGCACTCTCGATCTCAGAACGCTCTCTCGAAGATATAGTGGGATTGAAGTGGGAAAGAAGAGTCTGAAAGAACACAGCTCGAAGAAGGCAGAACACTTGGAGGAGAGTAGTCGTACGGCTTGATCCTTTAAACGTGCAACTGCGAGATAACTCACTCGACCGCCATCATCAGGGCCGGGCATACTGTGATAAGACTGGATAAAGATAACTTGGGAAACCGGACTGCTATAAGCATGCTACCTCCTTCTGCTATAAGCAAGCACACTACTGCTATACGACGAGTACTACTACGGCAACAGACTGTTGCCAACAGTACTACCATTACTACGAATCGTAGTCTACGATCCCTATCGCCTTTACCATGACTACTACTGTCATTTCCAATATTAACTCGCCTTAGTGATCACTCTAAAGCAAGACCTCATTGATATCAAGAGTTACTATGTATAAATACTACTGCTACATCACAAGATCCTCATCTTCTTCAGAAGCACCCTGGCCCGGGAAGGAGCGTCAGTGAAAATATGAGCAAAAACGAGCAGTAGCAGCAGGTTCAAGTACGGCATGGTTACAGAGGATTGCCGACTCGACATGACTGACTTCAACGAATGACCGCTCTTCTTCCGAATGATGATAATCAGCGAAGGTGATGAGAGTGCCTTTGTTAACTCATCAGAAATGTCTATAAGGATGATTATGATATAACAGTAACAGGTTATTGCTTATGGCGCCTCTTCCATTACAAAACCCACTAAGCAACTTTCGCACGAAGTCCGCACCAAATTGGCCGCCAGTAACCATATTGTCGTTCGAGCGATAGTAATGCTACTGATTCAACCAACGATCAGGCCGCATTAGCCACAACCTCAGCGTGGTGACCCTTGCTCTTCTTCTCTCCGGGTGGTGGTGGTACTTTCGGAGGCGATTTTCGCTTTTGGCTGGGCTTGGGCAAAGGTACCTGATACGATTACAATGTACAACAAATGCAGTAAACTTCTACTGTCAGTATTACTTCAACAGCAGTGATGGCATCAGAATTGGGCAGCCTCGTTATACGAAGAAGCCTCTCTATAGGGCCTCTGCACTTTGGACAGTGAGCACCTCCGACTGCTTCATTGCAGGCAATATGCATGGCGCAAGGCTCGCATATACCACCATGACCGCACGGTAATATAACCTGATTACATCCCACTCAGACAAGGACACACCGTCAGAACTACTACCATATCGCCCGGGTTTTCCAAACAAACACTGCAACACGGGATCTCCCACGGCTTCTCATTCGGATCACTAGGGGGCGGCAACTGAGTAACTTCGTTGGTCGGTATGAAGTTAGCTGACGACAACCGCACTAGGGGAACCTCCGGGCCAGTAGGAGGTGCCTGAGCCAATCAAGATATCAATGCCAAGATTGTGAAACACGAGACTAACCTGCGATGCTGTTTGCACCATAGTGCCTCCAGGCTGAGAACGGTCTATTCTGTTGACAGCATGACAGCTGCTACACACAAACACTGTGGCTGAGGTAGGGACCGACTGGGCGTAACTATAAAAAGAAATAAGTCAGTATTCTTTCATCGATATTGCCTCTGACCTGCAAGTGCCACACACTAGAGGCTCGGTTAAAGGGGTAGGGGTACTCGGAGCAGTCTCGGAAGCTTTCTTGTTCTTCTTACTACCGCACTTGAAAATATCGAAGAACCCCATACAGATGAAACGCCGAAAAGTATTTTTTAACCAACCTGAGGTACTAACCCTCCCATAAGGATCTCTATTGTGTTGAACCATAATCAACTTTTGATACTCATAGTTGCATCGATGATATGGACAACTCAAGACATCTACTACGACATCAATTTCACTTCCTAAGAATCTCCTCGACCTGCCAGCCACCCCCGAATGAACGCAGATGACCCTTGAGGCCTTTGATAACAATAAGGACTACTCATCCGCGGTTTAACACTACACTTCGAGTGAAGAGAGGGAAACTGAGACATTCCAATGAGAAACTACTGTATCATCCACAGTGAGCTCGCTGACACCAACTCAAAAAAGAGTTACAAAACAGACTATCAAAGAATAGATAGAAAAATGGGCTAGATGATGCATTCAACTACGAACAGAAGTGTATATCGTCACTTTATCAACATTCTCGGTATAATTAATGGTCATAGCACCCGTCATGTAACGCATGAGGCAAATAGAAAGATGTAGTACTAGGACAGTTGAGAGGTCTCTGAACCTGTAGCCGAGCTCACTGTGGGTAACCGTATTCAGAAGGAGGTTGCTAAAGCCAACATTGCTCGATATCAGCACGCAATCAATGTCTCATCTGAGACGAGGCAGGCCAGCAACATCACAGGCGGCAAACAAGTCGAGACCCCAATAGCGTAGTCGCATACAGATGGGATGGAGTGAAAGAGCACAATCCGAATAGACATCCCCGAGACCCAACCAGCGACAGTGAGTGGCCCTGGTAGGAGCTACTAGCTGGTCAGAATAGTGCCACGTAATCTCGTATCAGCTGCAGCAGATACGGTCATCACCAATACCATCACAAACCCTACCCCTAAACTCAACAATGTGCACCGGCGAGTAGCAGAGGAAAATATGTGACTATCTGCAATCTCTGCTGAGGTTAACCATCCTCTGGATTGCAACCGTCTCCCTCATCTACGTTCACCCTCCCTTATACAGGCTTGATTCTGAAGTGTAGGCCGATCAAAGAAAACACGAAGCACTTCAAGTCCTGAGCAAAAGGGGGACTAAAACAAACAACAACGTCAAAGGGGAGAGTACTACCTGAACCAGATAGTAGAAAGTCTTCAGTCCATCAGGATCCTTAGAGTTGGCTACATCGTGCATCGATCCAATCTTACTCGTAGTGAAGGACAAGTGTATCTAGCCATGGGTTACCACACGTATTGCCAATAAGGAACATTACAGCTTCCTTTCCAGGACCACCACCGAGGATGACCTCCAACTCCTGACGGCCAATCTGAGGGGGAATATTACGGAAGAGGAGACGCTTTAGGTGGTACCTTATCGGGCACTGGCCAGAGATTGTCGTCCTCCTTCGCTATCTTGCTGTCATCAACGATACGTCGTAGCTCCTGAGAGAGGAAGCCTCAGAGGACGATATAGCCCTTGAGAGACTCACGGCAAGGACCGCCTGGCTCACATAAGCCTCTTTTCGAATCATCGAGTCTTGTTTGTAATTGGAGTTGTTGGCGTAACGGAGACGTCCGTCGGGGCGGAATTCAAACTCTAGGAATTCGTGACCGAATTTCCCTGACGAAAATGAGGCTCTCCAAAGCCACCAGCCTCCCTCGAGCATTACCCTTATGACCAACGTAGTATCGTACGTAGAAGTCGTTGTCGGCCATGGCTGACTGCTGGGATGTGTCCATTACGATAAGACACAAGAAGGCTAAAAGCACATGGTCATAAGTCATTCAAATTGGAGATACCCATTCGCGTCACTGCGCCACGAAATTCCCTCCGAAACCTACGAAGGAGATCCAATCTAATACAGTCGACCAAGACAGAGGAACAACGACTGTTGCGGAGGGCCATCCGACAGCTAATAAACATTTTTGACCGCTGATTCCGCGACGTGAACTTGATGCTGTGACCCACTAGAGAGGGCTAACCTCGAATAAGAAGGAACTCCCCTGAGTAAACATCAGTGTCATTAGTAAGGAGGTCTGAGGGAAGGGTAAGGCGTTGTGTTCCGCATAACAGGCAGCAACAACGACGGAACACGTTGAGGAATTGCAAGAAGGAGCAAGATTGCAAGACTTTGAACTGTCTCTCAGTTGTGACAGCCTCCTCTGTCCTTGCTGAAAAATCCTGAAAGGGGTCGAGTGAGGAGGGCCTCGGCATCTCACCCTAGAGAGCGGCTTATATACTTTGCTGGAACGGCTGTAAATTGTAGGGTTGGGTGCCATGTGATTGGGTTGAACCGCCTACCTCTTAGGTGACAGAGGACGGCTATTACCAATAGAGCAAGAATACACTTGAATGAGCGAAAAGGAGCTATCGGGGGGTTCGACAAAAACGTAGTCGATAATACGTGATGGCCCTCTGCCACGGGCCCCAGCTGTTTGGGGAACTCACGCTCGTCATTGGTAGAGACACCCGAGGGATGTGCTATTCGTTCCGGCTCGTATTGCGGACCGACAGGGATGTACCAACAGAGCAAGGCGGAGGACTTGCGATGAGCCTGCGGGCAGTAGCAGTCACCGTACACCCTCCCCCTATCAACGGCCCTGCACTGAGAGTATGTGATATGCATATGAGGCACCAGCTGGAGGGGACGTAGAGGGACTCGGGTAGGATAATCAACTTGAACGATGGTAGTGGTGGCAGTGATGAGATAGGGACATACTCGAATGCCTTCGGTCTTCAGTCGGTGCTCACTCATGGTTTCTCTATGTTCTCTTTAGTGTTCTGAGTTCCTCTTCGCAGGGCGATGGAATCATCTGTGCAGCTTTCTATCTTCTTGTGGTTGTTGTTGTTATTATGTCGGATAGTGACAGCAGACGATCGACCGGCAGTGGGGTCGTCGACCCGTCCTCCCTCCCTCCTGGCATCACCCCTGAGTTCGGTCCCTCGGCCGACCCCAAGCGGTACCTCATAGGACGCGAGATTGGCGCCGGTGCCACGGCTCGGGTCTTCAAGTGCAAACGACAGAAGGATGGGAGGGTGTTTGCTGTGAAGTGCCTATTCGTCCAACGAGCTCGATTGTCGGAGGAGTTCGACCGAGAGCTAGATGCCTTGCATAAGGAGATAGGGATACTCTCCCGTCTCAAACATCGCAACATCGTAGCCTTGCATGATGTTGTCGAGACCCAGACTGCGGTGTACATCGTTATGGAGTATGTTGGTGGTGGCGAGCTTTTTGACTATGTTGTTGACAATGACAACTTCAACAACGAGAACGTAATACGTTTCGTTTTCTGTCAAGTTGTCGACGCCCTCCTCTACCTGCACGTCAACGGTGTTATCCATCGCGATCTCAAGCCAGAGAATATTTTGGTGTCTAGCATTACCACGTCGGTCCCCTCGGGCTACCAAGAGGTGCCTGGTGACATGCCTGTTTACCCGGTGGTCAAGTTGGCTGACTTTGGTCTGTCTAAAGCGGTACAGAATGCATCGAGTTTAGCCATGACTTGGGTGGGCACCCCTCAGTACTGGGCACCGGAAGTCATCAAGGCTCAAGAGGATAATGTGGGTTACGATGGCCGCGCGGATAACTGGAGTCTTGGTGTACTGCTCTATGTTATGCTAGGTAGTATTAAAGCGGGCTACTGGGCTCGGTATAGTAGTAGTAGTAGTAATGTATTCGGCATTCTTTATCATCCCTGAAGTCTCCGTTTGATATTACTGCTACTTTCAGGTAAGCGATATCCCTTCACTGGCCAACACATGAATGACCAAATACGGATAGGGCACTTCAAGTTCAAGAAGATGGACCATGTTAGTGAAGATGCGAAGAACTTGGTATCCAGATTGATAGTCGTTAACCCCAACGATCGGATCTCACTCGAGGATGCTCTAGGCCACCCTTGGCTTCGAAATTTCCCTCCTGCCCAAGCTCTACAGCAGGTGTGGGTTCCGGAATCTCGTGTACCACAACTCACTGAACTTTACTCTACTCTTACCGCGAGGGCCATTGGATATGAACCGACTATTAGCAGTGTGCCTTCACAAGTGTTGAAGCCGACGAGCATCGCGGAAGCTCCGAGCCCGTTGGCTAGTTTTCACGAACCGGGCGAAGACTCCCCTATGACCATCGACGACGATGAGGATGATTATTCCCCGATCGATGGGATGCAGGTCGAACATTTGGACTCTCGGGGGGACCCGATGGAGACTAGTGACATATCGCAGTCTCGGAGTTCGGCTACACGAGGTGACCGTCATAAAGAAAAGGAGTACTTGGCAGTTCAAAATCGTGGAGGATCTCGCTCGCCCGTGTCTGATGTCGCCAACAGAGTTGTCGTGCCGAACTTGGCGGCGAATCTTGGGAAAAAGGCGGCGCAAGATTTCCGTCTAGATGAACTTTGCACTGCACAGCTGAACATTCTGAAGATCTTTCAGCAAATTTATATACATTTTCGGCATCATCCAGTGGTGGCTCAGCTAGTTCAAGCGATGATTTTCGAAGCACGGGAGCTCCAGACGCAGACGACGGTGATGCTGAGTCGCTGTGGTGACATTGCGGAGGTGGTTAGAAAGGACCTGTCGGACATGGTCCTGTTCGCGGAGGAGGGTCTGCCTGATGAGGCCATGGCTGGGCTGGATTCGGTGAAAGCAAAGTTACAAGGAATGTCGGCGAGCTCTGAGGAGCTGCATGCGCACTATGTGGAGTTTGAGGGGAAGGTGCAGAAGATTATAGTGGGCTTGCCGACTACTGTTGTTGGAATACCATCAGCACAGCAAAGGGAGATCACTGCTAAGGCTATAATGGATGCTAAGGAAGTCATTGATTCTGATGTAAAGATGTCTACAGACGGCCCTAAGATATCACTCGTGGAGTCTAGTTCGAGCGCCAACGACAGCAGCAATATGGGGAATAGCAGTGGCAGGAGGACACTCAGTCGGCGATCGAAACGGGCTAATGAGCGTTTGGATTCCCTCTTGGATAGGCTTCGCAACCTGCCCTCTGATGGGAAGATTATTTCAGCGGTGGATGGTAAAGGTGACGCGATCGATTCCGAGGTGGCGGAGTTGCTGGATTTGCCATTCCTGGCAGCGGGTTATGTTGGTGGATATTCGGAGAAGCGAAAGAAGCCAGAGTCGAGCTCGGATGAATCTGCTGTGGTCTCGGACAAGGAACTTGAAGCACAGGGCGAAAGGGCAGCGTGGTCCGTCTCAGATGAGACGATGAAGAAATCGGATGAGGAAGAGTCTATTCCCTCTCGGAAAAGTGACATGCCTAGTGGCAGCGACTCGGAGGCAACAGCACAGCTGGCGGTGACTCGCAAGCTGGTGAATAATGGTGGTTCTGATCCGACTGCTGCTCTCATCGCTGATTCGATGAGGAAACTGCGAAGAATCGATCAGATCCTCCACAAGGTGACGGTGTTTTGGCAGGGGGTGGATCAATCTGTGGCGAAGTTGTCGGATATGCGAGAAAATGCGGCGAGGCTGTTGTCGGGAACGACGAAGTCGGCGCGGATTCTGGCAGTTTTCAGAGAGAGGGCGCGCGAGAATAACGATTTCTGGAAGACCTATGAGGATGTGTGCAAGGAGTATGCGAGGACATCAGCTCGTCAAATGCAAGCTTACTTGGAGGATATGAACTTGGTCTATGCACAAGTTGATGATTTTGATTTGAAGTCTGCTGCTGCTGCCGCCGCTGGTCAGGACGGTGATTCTTCCTCCCCGCCGACGCCCAGTCTAGTTGCTCGACAGGGCTCGGCAGCCTCTATGAGGCTCGCATTGGCTGATACTAGTAGCTGATGATGATGATCATGTTTGAACTTATTCGATTGTTGTTGTTTCGGTAGGTAGTGTGTTGGGGTCTGAACTCGTAGTACTTCTGCTCCTATAAGATTTTCAATCGATGTATAGTTGTGTTGTAAGTGTGTTTGGATCACGACTGTACTGGGGAAGGTGCATCGTAAAGAAATTACGATAGGGCTCAGGATCCGCGTTAACGCCCTGGGGCGCTCTGTAGGGTAGCCTCGAGGGGTCGGTCTTAGGCGCGCTATGCAGGGTGCGTTGTTGGTGTTTGATGAATGTGAGGAAGGTCGAGAGAAGAGCACTGTTGCTGCTCGCAACGGGTGTCGTAAATACGCGTTGTCTAAGGTGACGGTTTCGCCCGTTTCGGATAATGGCTGAAACTGCCCGAGCGTTTCAAGTGTCATGGATGTAGACCATTTAACAAATAGCTTGATTACGAGTTTTTCACTCGGATAGCGTGCTATTGCGGGCGCAGTTTCATAACTGTGGGCAGTCTCTTTATAAAGACCTATTTCCCGTAGTAAGCTTCGTCTGCATGGTAACCGTCTTATCCATAGCTCTTACTGGCTTCCTCCTCCTACACGTAGTCGTTGGTGGAGGTTTGAAGCGACCAGATCAGGAGAAGAGGGGATGTAAGCTACTGGGCGGCCGATTATGTTACCATCGCAACTGCCTGGTGATCGTTTTCGATCTCATTCTTAGGGGAGGCGAAGATTAACGCCGCGACGAGGAACGTCAATTACGCTCTTTACGCCAATGGACGAGGCTGGGTGAAGTCGAATGGCAAGTCGGACTGCAACGGTAAGTGGAAGGACGCGGAGACCTACGGCGCTCGAAAGAAGAAAATCAAACAGTGAGTCCTCCGTTTCCGCCCCGTCTCGCTCATTCGTCGCGTCGTAGATTCTGCATTCGGCTACACGAGAAGCATCAAGACGACAGAGGTTATACCGATGCTCCGAAGAGATACGGTGGGATGAGAGGAGCTTCAAATTGTCGTTTGATGGATGTTATAGATTGCCGACTTGATCCGAATGACAAGGGGAATAACCATGGAACCAAAAACCGTGACTGGCTGTGAGTGACGCTTCCCAATGGGATTTCTGGCATAGTTTGGATTTGCAGATGTTATGAGAAAGAACAAGAATACGTATTGATGCCTCCTCATGGCCCTGGACTCAACTCGACTTGTCCTTCAACCAACCCGTGGCTACACCGTGCTCTGTCATGTAAGTTGGATGATGTCCTTCCCTCCCTCTCCATGAGTGGTTCACTTCATCTCGTTTAGGGTATCCCCGTGATAGCCCACCCAAGTGGTGTCGATATAACTGGTATGAGAAGAGGCAAGTCTGCTGGTGTATGCCGGGCTTTTATCGGGAATCACCGTATGACGTGTCACTCTCCAAGAGGTAAATTTCTTTCCGATGATCGTCTCGCACTATTTCCGCTACTCTTTCAGAGGCTGTCCCGAGGAGGAGATCTTCATCATCCCGCGGTTCGTCAGGAGGAGCGAACTACGCCGACTAGGAGCATTCGATGAGCCTCCAAGAAAAACTGGGGCCGTGGCTGAGGAATCCTCCACCGAGGAGTGTACTTGTCCATCCCCATCTGATGCGTTTGACGAGGCCTCCAAGTCTCCATGAGTACTGTAATCGTCAGATGAAGTCGTGATGATTATGTGAAACGATAATTCATCGCTCTATAGCTTTGCCGCAAACGGCAAATCTGTCATTATCTTTCTTGTATGTAAAGAACATGCCGCACTTATTTTAATAGCGCATGTGAAGTCTATGTGAAACTATGGAAGTTCTCTTTTAGTAAACTCTGTAAACTTGTGTTTATCAAGAGTGGGTAGGAAATGATTCCGGATGGTCAACACGATATGTGTGCGCTTTTACGCTGCTTCTAGCACTACAAGATGAATATGCGTATCACCTTAGGAAACTATTGATGTGGTTGATATTGGAATGCAGAAATCTTCTTATGGTTGATGAACAGCTGAGGGTTTCCAAACAGCTCGACGTCCACATAAGCGTTTGTTGCTTGGTGGTGGCTCATAGTCGACTACACAAGTCGGAGGGAGTTGTAAAGATCTCTATGGGTGGAAGCAGTAATACTTTACCCTCCGAGTGAACTCGATTATCGGTCGATGATGGATAGTACTACAAACTTGGGAGTGATCAGCTATGCACAAACGTGTAATCGCGCAGAATGGGTAGAAGCAGTAACAGCGTCCGTCAAGTGTCGCATTCAGAGTACTCATTCTACCTATTGGAGAAGTGATGGGGGAAATGCTCTGTAACTGCCGCCGCCGACAAGAGTTCATTGAACCCAATATAACAGTCGACCTGACGCTGATGCAATCTACTCCAAAATTTTCACGTCTCGTGACGCGACGTGTTTCTAGCGGCTTCACGTTTGGGCACGCGTGCCCGTGACGGCTTCATGTGCAAACGGGCATATGAACTCCGCTCGCCACGGGCACTCATTTCCTCAGGTTAACGTACTTGGGCACTTATGCTTGAGTCGATGTTTCAGTTTAGTTTTCGGATGCAGCCAATCGCGTCGAATTGTGACAAACCATCTTCAGCATGGAGCCGTGCACCGATTGGCTCGTTTATATGGACCATCTGCTCCCTCATGGTCGTAGCTAGACTTCTTCTACAGTTCGTCGCGGTCCCCTATGTAGCCAACTTGATGGTCAAAGACTCTACGTGGTCTGTATCAGAGTTACACGTTGGGAAAGAGATCCCATGTGTTGATATGTCTCCTGCTTACACATGCTATGAATGCCGATCCACAATCGAGGTCTCTGACATTCAATTCGATGCCGAGTTCATGCTCCCACCCGTCCCTATCTTCATCAAGAGCGGTGTAGGTGAGTCGTTTCTAGGCTACAAAATCTTCCCAACTCTGACGTTGACGGGTGGAGCTTCGACCAACAAGTTTGTTTCCAACGGCGATTTGATTGCTAGTGTGCCTTTATCCAATAGTTTAGACCCCCTGACGGATCCTGTTGAAGCCTGGATCCTAGCCAGTGTTGATGTACAGCTCTTCGGTTTTACCGTTACGGATGTTCTTATGCGGAAGACTTTTCTTATTCCTTTGCGCAACTTCTCGATTGCGGTTTGAGATGACCAAGCTCTAGTGAAGTCCCTAAATGACCGGTGGGTATCGGCCTGTTAACAGTCGATCGATAACTCCACATGGTCTTCCATCGGGTCGCTGAACCCCCCTTTGACCAAGGAATCGGACAATGGTCTGTTATTCACGATTGCCCTGAGATATCATTGCTATTGTAGTATTAGATATTTCAAAAAGATCAAATTTTTTGAATCCCTTTCACTCAACTATCATATTTCAATACGCTACTGGTTCGCGCCGCGTTGAAGTGACTACTGTGAATGTTTTCCCCTTAACATGACTATTGGGAAATCGTCCAGATTTCGTGCATATGTATCGACAGGGCTGGTTTATGTCTACTGCACACCCCTGAGGGAAAGTTTAACTGATCGCAGTAGTTTACATATAGCAGTTTAACTAAACAAAAATTGTTAAAATCAGAAATGATTAGGAGAGTGATACATCAAGATCGGAATAGAAGTACACGGGCGTACTTCCGAGATTCCCAAACTTCATATGTCATAATATCGGAAAGAGCATCTCCGCGCTGAGTTATCATACTCATTATTCCCAACCCAAACACCCAATCCCTACTCATTATCCCCGCACATGGATCAAAGTATGCTAGGAGAGAACTTGCATTGTTTCACATAAACTTCACATGCGCTATTAAAATAAGTGCGGCATGTTCTTTACATACAAGTAAGATAATGACAGATTTGCCGTTTGCGGCAAAGCTATAGGGCGATGAATTATCGTTTCACATAATCATCACGACTTCATCTGACGATTACATTACTCATGGAGACTTGGAGGCCTCGTCAAACGCATCAGATAGGAATGGACAAGTACACTCATCGGTGGAGGATTCCTCAGCCACGGTCCCAGTTTTTCTTGGAGGCTCATCGAATGCTTCTAGTCGGCGTAGTTCGCTCCCCCTGACGAACCGCGGGATGATGAAGATCTCCTTGGGACAGCCTCTGAAAGAGTAGCGGAAATAGTGCGAGACGATCATCGGAAAGAAATTTACCTCTTGGAAAGTGACAGGTCATACGGTGATTCCCGATAAAAGCCCGGCATACACCAGCAGACTTGCCTCTTCTCATACTAGTTATATCGACACCACTTGGGTGGGCTATCACGGGGATACCCTAAACGAGATGAAGTGAACCACTCATGGAGAGGGAGGGAAGGACATCATCCAACTTACATGACAGAGCACGGTGTAGCCACGGGTTGGTTGAAGGACAAGTCGAGTTGAGTCCAGGGCCATGGGGCCGATGGAGTATTTTGTAAGGATTGAAAGAACTTCTTTTAAAGGCACAAAAATAATTTCCGTGAGCTCCGTGCGGAATTAAGAAACTTAGGTATATCTCGCTACTCTAATACTTATTGTAAACACGACGGGGAAAATGTGTAGATAATCGGAAAAGGTTCCCGATTATCCGAGTTCCACTGTGCCACTCTGCGCTTGCACGGTCTGCGCACGCGTGTAGCGTTCATTATCCACGAAGTCCGCACACGTGAGCAGACCGCACGACATGTAGATCTTTTAAAACAAGAAGAATCTAAAACTCCGCAACGTATCTTCACGACTTTAAAAAACTGGACTGCACTTGAGACTTGACTCCCAATCTTAGTCAAAACCCGCTCATCGAATTCCTTACCATAATGGTAAGGAGATACAGATACCCTGTAACCCCTCCTACCACTGGCGGCCTGTGTGCACACGCAATTGGAATGATAAATATTGTTCACGTATTGCATACTGTATGTAGACTGGAGCGGTACCAGTCAGCCGGAAGCATATATAATCTACGACGATCCAGACTGAATTAAAGAGATATGGCATGTGTACGTTCGTAGTATGGAATTCATGTAGATGGTTGGCAGCCCAGGGCTGCTATTAGAAGTGTAAGTTTAGCGCATGCTTGCGCGCGTGTGGATTTTCGCTGCACGAATCTCATCTTGTCTAATATCACGCAGTAGTGGTTGGGTTTTCTCGAGCATGTGAGTTGGCCCTTCGATGGTGAATCCATCGGAGACTGCGAACATTTGAAGGGAAGTTGAAATGAGTTATCAGCCCCTTCTACGAGTACTAGTGGCTGTGCAGTGCACAATGACAATGATCTATCAAAACATGGAATGTATTCGGAATGTTACAGAGTTGAATTTTGGCCAAAATAACGACCGAGATGCCTCTTCTTCTGCCTATCCGTCTGCTCGCCTTGGTTTACGTATTGGGCGTGTTGAATGTCACCCGAGCAGAAACTCTGAAGCTCGATGTGAGGCTCAAAGGTGTAGCGGATTCGCTTCTGATTGTTTCATACTCTGGTCGACAGATGGCAAAGCTAGATGTCTCGTGACACTGGGTCTGGTTCTTTTT